GTTTCGCTCAACGCTTGCACATCGCACTTCCTCGTCTCTTCCACCTTCGCCCGACACCGCTGCGTGTTAGCACATCGCTGAGCTTTCCTCAACGCCGCTACGTGCTAGCGCTTTGCTCGACGATCTGCGTTGAAATGCCCCTCAATACCCCTGCTCTTCATTTGTGCCAACCCACCCCCCTCTCTCCTCATGTTTCGCTCAATGCTTGCACATCAGAGCACAGGCGTTGGCCCCTTTCAGAAAGTTCCGGCACAAGGGAGGGAAAAAAAAAGGACATGCATCTTCCCCGTTCTTGCCGTGAGATTCATTTTGTTATGCACATTTGGTGAGTTCTGGACACAAGCTTCGACCGGATACACATCCTGACAACAAAACAGCTTCGTATCTCTGGTCTCTCGTATGTTCGTGCTGCTATGTACTTGTATTCGAACATGAGGCCCAACGGGACCGTCCCAGGTCCCCATCCTTTTTCCCAGCGTTGGTGGCAGGTCTCGCGTGGGAGCATTATGCGAGACCCGCGATTGCCTTCAAGAGTATAGAGGGGAAAAAAAAAACGTTTTCATTTTCCCCGCCTCGGATTTGGCTACGAATTTCGAGATGGTCCTCAGCCAAAAGATTTTTTTGTATTGCAATGCTGCATAATATATCTTCTTTTTCGTTTTTTTTTTTTTTTTTTTTTTTTTTTTTTTTTTTTTTTTTTTTTTTGGGCGTTTTTTGGGGGGCGTGGTTGGGGAGATGGATCCGGACACTCTGACTTGACACCAGACCCGGACGTCGAGACCCGGACTTCCTGCACTGCGGTCCAGACGCCCGGATAGTAACGATGGTCTTTATTTAGCCTTCTTCACACTGAAATGATAAGCTCACATTTGCTCTCCACAGAACATGCACAATGAAAGCTCACACGCAGATTCACACCAAAGCCAGAGATGGACACCAAATGAGCACAGCTCAGAAACTTCAATGAATCCTCATAGAATACAAATTCAGAGTTAAGATAGCCAGCGCTCAACAGTGCATGCAATTACAATCTCAGTCAGGTAGGTACCCAAGTATCCTCCCCCTACGGCTACCTCTCTCTCTCTCTCTCTCTCTCTCTCTCTCTCTCTCTCTCTCTCTCTCTCTCTCTCTCAATACTTGTATCACTCTGGCTCTCTCTCTCTCTCTCTTGCTCCCTATCTGCTACTACTTGGATCGTAACCCTGGATACATCCGATCGACTTCAACTGCGACTTCAGCTATGGCAGCTATGGTCGCCTTCTCCTTCCTCAACCCGAACTGGTGCGCCGCCAAGCAGGCCCTTTGGCGTACAGCCCAACCTGCGAGGTTGCACAAGCCACAAGCAGCGCTTCTGCAATTTACATAGGACAATAGATGATGCGAGCTGCACTGTAGCAGCTATTAATATTTGCTTGACTTGGCCTTGGTTTGCTTCTGACCGGTACTGCCGGCCTGCGGCCTGTCTGCTGCGTGAATTTTGGTGACCCGGCACCTTCCGTACTTTTCCTGGGATGCTGCTGCAAAATTGGACTTCGGGCCTGGACTTTTCTTGTCGGGTACCGGTTGCACTTTTACCGGTCTGCCTGTACGGTACTGGCCCGACATCAACTTATGACGTTTCGGCCTCCTACGGACCTAAGGACCCTAACAGCCCTACCTGGGACTCACCTACTGCGATAGGTGGGACTGGGCCCAACTGGGACTGGGACAATCTGGGACGCCGTAATCAGGACTCGGATGTCTGCAACGTGAAATCCTTTCAATACTGTGCTTTTAGGTTTTGATTTTTGTTTACCCTTCCTTTGCTATAGACCATTTAAATCGTTTTCTTCCTTACCCTCCCCCCCCCCCCCCCACACACACACAGACACACACACCGGCCCTCTGTCAAAGCGACATGAACAAGAGTCCATGCTGTCTCTTATACACATCTAGATGTGTATAAGAGACAGCAGACACACACACCGGCCCTCTGTCAAAGCGACATGAACAAGAGTCCATGTAATCATGGTGTGGACTTTGTTTCTGTTTCCTCTCCTTTATTGAACAGGTCTCAGTCGTCTGGCCCATCTGGCATCCCTGGAGCTGAAAGCTGGTGAAAAAGTAGAGAACGCCAAAACGGTAAGCTGCTATGCAACTGCTGCCATACAATATGTGATTGAGAAATGTTCTTTTGTGGGAATGGTGTGTTCTTACCCAGATTTGCAGTTTTGCTGGACTGCAACCTTTGTGTTGGTACAGATTCGTTTCGTTATCTGGGCAACGTCGTTGTGTGTGATTACCTTTCAAGTTTTGGAGTTCAGTGGGGGAAAAAAAAGAAGAAACAGTTTGAAATTTGAATTGGTCAATGTTGACATGTTTCTTTTGCAAATTTCTGAATTATACGATTGTTTTGTGGACTGGGCTGAAAGTCGTGTGAGGAATGAGCCCTCGCAGGGGCCCTTATCAGACATGCACATGTTCTGCCCGCCCTAAGTGAAGGCGGGCCTGAATATTCACTAGAGGCCAAAATTGGACATTTTCCGTATTTGGGTACTCGGGCTGTTGCAGCATGCCAGTTGGTTGAATGGAAGCGTGAGCCTCCCTAAGCTGCGTCGTACAGTTTGGCCCAGGCCTTGGTAGTTGCGCCTGGGTACATACACACACAATGCAGGGCAGATACATCACGAAGTGGCTACGGGCCTACGCAAAAGTAGCATTGTCGACGTACATACCCCGGGTCCTGTGCAAATGCATCAAACGGCCCAAGTCTGGAAATTCAGGCCGTTGTCGCACTTTTTCCAGCCAGGCCTCTTCAGGCGACCAGAAAGCCAACAGGCTGTCACGCAGGATTTTGATGATGCTTGCAATAAATAAAGTAAATTAATTAAAGTAGATCCCTTCCTGTTGTGTGCGTTCAGCTTCATGCGAGACCCTTCAATTGCGTCTTAGGAATCTTCAATTTTGATTCAGAACAGCAAAGATTCCGCAAATAATAATCATAAAATTCTGGTGTGTCATGCATCCATCAAGTTTGCCAATTTGTAATTTTTGAGAACTCTGACAGGATCATCAGATAGCACAATATCATACATGGTCAGTACAAATAATTCAGGACCGACTGACTCAAGGCAGGAACAAGGTAAGTGAGGGAAAAGTGAGAACTCATAATAATGCAATAACCCATGCGTATGCCTCGTGGAAAGTTTGAGGGCTACAAGTCGCACTCAGACCCAGGCCGAAGGAGGGGCAAAACACCCCACAAAAAGATTCAGGGCCTTGACGAGATACAGTTGACGAAGTCAACCGTCGGTCTACCCAACAGTCAAAGTCAAAGGTACCCAGCCCAGGCCGCCGGTCAGGCACGCACAATTGTTTGTATGCAAGTACCCGGACAGCATCAGATCGAAAGGGAATTCTGCAACTGTACACAATCCAGGCCCTCGGCTGTGAGTCAATCTGGACGACTGTGTGGGAGGGAACCGAGGCCAGACAGCCTCGTCAAATACTACTTAAAGGATGGCTTCGAGGTGGTCCACATTCAGTCTTGCTATGCTGCTTGGACGCTGGCTTGACTTCGACCAGATGCTGGCATAGACGCTGGCACGACGTTGGCGAGACGCTGGCTGTGTGCAGGCACTGTGGACGACGACGCGGACTGTGACGGCATGCTGATGTGGCGCTGCCACCTGTCTTCAAGGCTGATGTGGCGCTGCCTTTGGTCTACATGGCATGCTGATGTGGCATTGACTTTGGTCTACATTGTATGCTGATGTGGCGCAGGCCATTTGTCTACATGCTGATGTGGCGCTGCCTCTGGTCTATATTCCATGCTGATGTGGTGCTGCCTATGGTCTACATTCCATGCTGATGTGGCGCATGCCACTTGTCTCGACGGTTGACGTGGCATTGTCCACACTGTCTACTTGCGGTGACTGGTTGTGAGGAGGAGGAAGATCGGGATCTGTGGATGATTGGGAACGGGATACTTACCTGAGGACTGACGTTGATATTGTTCGCTGCTGGCTGTCATCATTGTCCCTATGAGAGAGTGGTGCCACGTGGCACTTCTGTGATACCGGGACTCTTCAGACTTGTTACTGTTATTTGATTGATGACGTGGAGGGAGAGGAAGCCTGGAGAAGAAGTTCTCCCACCTCCTTCCTTGTCTATTCTCCCTCCACTCTCTTCATCTATTGGTAATGAGATATTGTTGTGGATATCATTTTCACTTTAACTGGAGACTTTGCACAGATATGAGACTACTAGAACTTCGACGTCTGTTGAGTATCTTCCTGACTGGGTTCATTACAATTTGGTATCGGAGCTTACTCCTTCATCGCAATCTGCTGTCAGGTGCTGACGTGGCACCCAGGTAAGTGGGGGGTGCCGCATGTGCAAAACGAAACACGTTTATTAACGCGCGTGGTAAATACCGCAAGTCTAGACATTGTGGTATTGCACGTGCGAGCAGCTGTCCCTTGAAGATGATGACGTGGCTGCACTGAAGACTCTTCAAGATACCAGTGGAAGCTTCGTTGGCAACCAACTGACGTGGAGCTGGTCAAAAGAGAGATCGAGACCACTAATGTGGCGCATTGTTCTCATGACACGATGATGTGATCGGCAGGGCATAGACTGACGTGGCACGTACCTGTGTTACTATTACCTGCTATTGATGCGCTGATGTGGCATGCCGGTGTTGAGCGTGTGGCAGACCTGCAATGCTGACGTGTCATCCCTCCTTGTAGACCTTCTCGGTCCTTGATGCTGACGTGGCAGAACTGCTACGTTGGCATGCCAGGGGTGACATGTGGCATGCAAAGACTGTGCACCTGTTGCTGATGGTTGCATTGCTTCTGCAGATGATACAAAAGAAGCTAACCATTGATTGTGTGTGGTTGCTGTGTATACTCACCTGTTGATTGTCTGTGGTTGCTGTGTATACTTACAAGTGTGTTGTTGTCTTGATTACACTGGTCGTGGTTGCAACACCTGTAGCGGTAGGACGTCATCACAAAGAACAGACAACAAAGTTAGGACTTAGAAATTAATTGAGAACCTGCTTCTTTGTATCTGCCTTGCTCACTTCTTGCTGTAGGAGTTGCGTGTGCCGTGAAATTTATTCTTGTCTTCTGATTTTATTTATTGTGCGGTGCAAGGAAAATAAGCAACAGCGAGATGACAATTCCAGATTACACCATCACATTGAAAGCCAGACAGTCACACCGTGTCCAGAGAGCAGCATTGCACCAACAATACACCAATGGAGGTTCGTAGCACTGAAAACCAATGTCATTGAGAGCATACTCTCTCCTCATCAACACAAGAATCTAGTCCCTTCACTCTCCTACTTAGCGATCAGCGCCCAGCCTACTCCTAACACAGCTACTACAGCCTACTAATTGACAATGCAACTGTTGGCATCAGTAGCAACCCGAAGTACTTGAAGATGTCGCCCATGCAGACCATCGCCAATACAAGGTAGGTGCCCTCACATCATCATCGTCATCATCCTTCACCTATCCCCTGTGTTTACTCCCACGTCTGTCCTCTCTTACACCCGAAGACCACCCCTGCGCCTCACTGTAGACCAAGCCCACCAGCTATGGTGGCTGGGCTATGGCGCTGCCCTCAGCAGCGCCCTTCTTCCCTGCACGACCGCACGTGCTGCACCTCGCCTCTCAGCGCCAGCCAGTAGCCGTGAGCTCTTGCTCCAGCAGCGCTGCTGCTACCATGCGAGTGCCTGAATGAGGCTGCCAGGGGTGAGCTCTTTCCTTTATGGAAAGAGCTAGCCTGCTCGCGCAGCCTGGCTACACTGGCCTGGCCCCAGAAGGCTGCCTGTGTACAGCAGCTACTGGGCTGCTGGGCCTCGTTCGGTTGGGCGCCCAACTGTCTCTGTATGAGGCTGCGAATCACGCCCAGGGCCTGTATTCTTTGGAAAAGCCCTGAAGGCCGTGGAAATGTCTTTGTTGCCCGGCCTGAGTTTCTCTCAACCAACTGGCGCGTCGCAACTGCCTGGACCCCAAATATGAAATTGGCAGTCGAGGGCCTCTTGCGATATGCCAGGCCCGCCTTCACTTAGGGCGGGCACCTCCGCCTTCACTTAGGGCGGGCAATGCTGTAAACAGGGCCCCATAGGCCTACCGAGGACCCTGATCCTCGCAGCGGCATCTACACGCTGGTAAAAATGAATTCTCTCTGGAAATGTTTGCGTGCCTCCATCTTGACGCGGTTCATTCCTCTTCTTTTCTTTCATATCCCTCTCATAGTCTATGCCAATGAAGAAGGGGGGGGGAACTAAAGACCCGTGGCCAAATTGAAACAAGAAAGCAGACCTTTATCGGTTTTCTTCACCAATTTTTCGGTGAGGTACACGGCGCCGGTTCAGAGATTGAACAACTGATTCATGGCCAGTTCAATCTGTGTGCTGCAGAAGGTGCACTGAAAGCCACGGAAACAGCCGTTCAAGTGATGGAGACCGGTAAGAAGGTCGAGGACCTCATAAAGCAAGCGCGAATTGCCCTTGACCGGTATGTTGCCGAGAACCTGGACAAGATGGAACAGGAAAGGAAGACAAGAAAAGAAGAAGAAAAAGAAAAGAAGGTAGAACCGCAACTGTCTGTTGAGATAATGGAGGAGAATGTTAGGCAACTAGAAAACACATTGAGAGAAGAAAGAAGAAAGATTGAGGAATCCCGGAGACTACAAGAAGCGCAAGAAGAAGATTTCACTATGAAGAAGCAGGCAGCGAGCTTGCATCCATCCTTCAGTCTATCATGATCTACCTTGTGTCTCTTGAGAAGAAGATTGATCGCAACACTGCCTCATTAGAGACAGTAACCAGACTCCTAAAAGGAAAAGAGAAGGTGGTCACTTAGGAGGAGACCAGGGGAGTGGTAGTCAAGAAGGAACCTCGGGAGAAGTTAACGAAGGATGTAATGAAGAGAGTTACACCGGAGAAGTCTGAAAGTTCTAAGAAAGAACTCGAGAGACCGGCCGAGAAGAGAGAAGAACCCGCTAAGAAAGAACGATAAAGGAAGCGGAAAAGCCGAACAAGAAGGAAAAAGTCGAGATAAAGTTGCTGCTCACATACAACAACAAAAAAGACGAGAATCTGTTGTTGTGGATAACGGAAATACAGACTTACTGTGAGATCGCACCCGTTGAGCCCGAAAGTCAAGTCGCTTTCTCTACGTCGTGTCTCGGAGGAGTGGCTAAGGAATGGGTGTTGGCCGAAGCCAATGCCGCTAGCTTTGAAAACATTGGTGAGTGGGCGAAGACCGTGAACCTCAAGCAATTTATCCAAAAGATAAAGGAGAGGTTTCTTGATAAGACGACGACCAATAAGGCCTTCGACGAACTCGCTACAATCGTCCAGAAACGTTGGACTTCGGTTGATGCTTTGTCACGTGAGGTTGACCGTCTTTTGCAGGTATCGATGAACTTGCAGGACAACCAGGTCTTGCACATATACTCACGTGCACTGACCAAGCCCCTTCGCGGTCTTCGTGGTAGAAGCCAAGTCTGAAAAATATAACTACCAGCAATTTCACGACCTTGGTCTCCAATGAGAGCAAATGACTGCATAGGTGAAAGGTACAACCCAACTTTCCCGTTGGACTGGCCATTGTCGTGCAGC